TGAACCTGCTGTTGTGATTGCATCTTGAAATGGTTTGTGGCATCAGTACCTACCGATACACAGCAGCTGAGTACGTAACACAGATGTACAGTTAACACGGGCCGTCTGAGTGTTAACGGCTATCAAAGTGTAGTTTATACGTAAACGGTGATAATTAATAATGTAAAATATTAATATAAAGTAGGAGGAGCTCTTTGGGCAGAAACGGAGACTCGTTTCATCTGCTGCTGTTTGAGGTGAAATGAACTCCGTTTCCTCGAAGACGTTTCTAAACTGTCCATCTGTCGTCTGTAGATCTTTGCCAGCATGGCTCCGTCCATCTACGGTCACGAGGACATAAAGAGAGGTCTGGCTCTGGCCCTGTTCGGAGGAGAGCCCAAGAATCCAGGTGAGTCCCGTCCTGAAGGAAACATCTCTGTTATTTAACTCCTGCTCCTCACCGACTCCTCTTCTCCTGCAGGAGGGAAACACAAAGTGAGAGGAGACATCAATGTTCTGCTGTGTGGAGACCCGGGAACCGCCAAGTCCCAGTTCCTCAAGTAAGTGTCCTCGTCTGAGACGTCAGAGGACAGTCTCTCTCAATGATTCAGTGTTGTCTGATCTTTAAATGTTAAAGAAAGATTCACCTGGAAGAGAAGAGTCACTTTACCACCAGGTTCTCTCACAAACTGAGCTTTTTAACGTTTTCAAAGAGCACATTTTAGATTATTTTTATGTCGACCTCATAGTTTGGATAATAACCACTTTGGATTAAAGTCTTTTCTGTCTCTATGTTGGGTTTACGTGATAAAGACTTTAAGTTATAGAAAATGAGAAGTGATTTATTTTTCTGTGAAATCTGTAAATCTTCTGCAGGTACGTGGAGAAGGTGTCGAGTCGAGCCGTCTTCACCACAGGTCAGGGAGCCTCGGCCGTCGGTCTGACCGCCTACGTCCAGAGACACCCGGTCAGCAGAGAGTGGACTCTGGAGGCCGGAGCTCTGGTGCTGGCCGACCGCGGAGTCTGTCTGATCGACGAGTTCGATAAGGTGAGACGACCCTCTGTACGACCCTTCTGTCTGCTCCAACGATGACCTCCGACCTGAACCACCTTGTCCTTTTCAGATGAACGACGCGGACCGGACGAGTATCCACGAGGCCATGGAGCAGCAGAGCATCTCCATCTCCAAGGCTGGCATCGTCACCTCGCTGCAGGCCAGATGCACCATCATCGCCGCCTCCAACCCCATCGGTACGATCGTTAGGAGTCAAACGCAAGAGACCTGAAGCACGAGGAGTCGGTCCTCTCAAGATCTCATCACGTTACTCTTAGATAACCTGTAGATAACCTCCTGAACGCGTCTTTAAGAGCTTCTCAATCATTAATATCAGTGTTCGCGGTGACTAGATGCCCTCGGTCCCCACGTGTTGGTGACTTGAATCCCTCGCGGCGGCGACCACAGTTCCCCTCGCAGTGGCGACTTGATGGCATCCTGGTTTGTTTCCTACAGGTGGTCGGTACGACCCCTCGCTGACCTTCTCTGACAACGTGGACCTCACGGAGCCCATCGTGTCCCGGTTTGATGTTCTGTGTGTCGTCAGAGACACTGTGGACCCTGTTCAGGTACACGCACGCACGCACGCACACACGTTGAACATCCTGAAAAAGTAAAATATTCTGATGACTAACATGACTTCCTTCTCTCCTCTCTCCTGATTGGTTCGTTCTCCAGGACGAGATGTTGGCTCGCTTCGTGGTTGGCTCCCACATCAAGCATCACCCTAGCAACAAGGAAGGGGGCGTGGCCTTGGAAGAAGTGATTCTGCGCAACACGTCTGATGTTCCTCCGATTCCTCAGGACCTGTTGAGGAAGTACATCATCTACGCCAAGGAGAGGGTAACTACTTACCAACTACCACTGCTAGTTACCAACTACCACTGCTAGTTACTTCTGGAAGACTGAAGAACAACATGAAGGTTTCACTCTCTGAGCCCCAAAAACCTGACTTTGGGATTTAAAAGCATGTTCTCATTAATCGCCAAAACTACATTATGATCAGATTTTCATCTTTCCGACGGTCCTTGAACACATAAGTGTCTCAAATTAAAGAAATTATCAAAAATGATCATTTATCTGTAAATGTTGATTTATTCCTCCGGTCTGCAGATTCATCCCAAACTGAACCAGATGGATCAGGACAAGGTGGCCCACATCTACAGCGACCTCCGTAAAGAGTCCATGGTGAGCCGTGACTCTGAGACGTCGTGAACATCTGTAGAAACAGCTGTTTGTCTTAATGTTGTTCTCCGCTCGCAGGCGACTGGCAGCATCCCCATCACGGTCCGTCACATCGAGTCCATGATCCGCATGGCGGAGGCCCACGCCAAGATGCACCTCAGGGACTACGTGCTGGAGGACGACGTCAACATGGCCATCAGGGTGATGCTGGAGAGCTTCATCGACACGCAGAAGTTCAGCGTGATGAGGAGCATGAGGAAGGTGAGTGGGTTATGTTCCTCATGTGTGGCGTTCACTGACCCGTCTGTTACTGTCTCACGTGGCGTTCACTGATCCCTGTGTTCCAGACCTTCTCTCGGTACCTGGCCTTCCGGAGGGACAACAACGAGCTGCTGCTCTTCATCCTCAAACAGCTGGTCTCTGAGCAGGTGTCCTACCAGAGGAACCGGTACGGAGTCCAGAACGACACCATCGAGGTTGTAGAGAAGGACCTGCAGGACAAGGTGAGGAGGGAAGGGGTTAAATGGTGCATTCAGGGACCATGTTACTGTCAGACTAAACGCTACCTGTTTTAGTTGGTTATGGAACTTTGTTCTTTAGAGACGAGGCTGAGCTAAGTCTCTCTCTCTCCTCCCCCCC